TAAAATGTGTTTACAGAGTTGCATATATGCTGAAAAGTGAAAAAACAGCATAACTTCTACAATAATGGCCCGAACATGCTGATTTTTGAACTTGACCTGCATTTTATGAATATTCATCAGCTCTGTAAATATAAAGCCAAAAAGTAAAACTGTCTTCCACTTATCGTGTTTACAAGGAAAGTGCACGGCGACGACGGTGACGGTGACAGCGACGACGGCGACGGCGACGACAGACGCAGGTGATGGCAATATGTACAGACACATCTGTGTCTGTACATAAAAAACAGAAAGCCTAATTGTCATTAAACTCACAGGAATGGTCAGTCTTACTAAAACGCAGGTTGAGTTTGAAAATCAGCATAATCGGGGCATTATTTTAGAAGTTATGCTGTTTTTTCACATTTCCTCAGATTTTCTCAGATTTAATTCTTAGGTATGTTAATAGCCTTATTATTTAAGTAATAAGATACGTAAAAGTGTTTGTTTTACATTTCCTGCATCTTTACAACATTGTTAGTTGATTATGTAAAAATGATGGTAAACTTATTATCATGTATTGTGTAATCAAGTGTCAAAAACGTAAATAAATTCATATCATTGCAGTTTGTCAGATTCAATCACTATGTTCAGAAGTATATATATATCAAACTCAAAGATTAAAAGTTTGAATAGCAGCTTCATTGGAATTATATTTACCTCTGCCAAGGAGGTTATATTTTCTCTGGGTCCGCTCATGTTATTGACCATTTTACCTGTTGTGCATGATTAAAATTCAGTGTTGACTGACAGTGCTATTATAAGCATTATTTATTATTGCATCAAAATTGACAAAATGACCTATTTTGCATCTTTATTTTCTGTTTTTTGTCTGTACATTTGACAGCTTTGCTGCCTTGTTATAGATAAAATCAACAATAAGTCTCTAAAGAAAAATCCCTGACTCCCTTTGGTAGTACTTTGTTCAAGTGTTATAATACCATTAAAAACATGTTTATAACTGTCCAGGTGCCTGAGAAAATCAGGGCCCAGTTTTATAAAGGACGTTTAGCACTAACCAGTGTTTAACTCTAACCAGACCTAAATAGTCTGTTAGTAAACTGACCTTTAAATAATTATTTAATCCAGGTAAACACTGGCCAGTTAACTAATTGGCTGTTTTCCGTCAGAAGACTGTATATAAAACACATTTTAACCATCTTTTAGTTAATGGGTGTTAGGTGAATTTATCCACTGGTTAGGCTTATCCACTGGTTAGTGCTAAACGTCCTTTATAAAACTGGGCCCAGGTGTTTAAAAATGGTGTTTTTGTCCCCAAAATACCAATATTACTTCACATGATGAAGCTGGAGCTGTGTTCCAAGCATAATTAGATGTTTTGAAGATACATTAAATGAATATGACAGGAATAAAAAAGCTAAGACCTTTATTTTAAGTGAAAATCTCCAACCTACATTGCCACCTTAACGACCTTGAATATTTCTTAATTAATCATCTTTTTATCAAAATCTATAGACAGATATTACACTTGTGAAAATGGAAATGGTTTGAAAGTGTATTGAAGGACACCTTATAGACTACAGTTCATACATGTACATAAATTTAGGTGATTTTGTAATAGCCTGTTTTACATCCTGGTCAGCAGTTGCAGTTTCTAAAGTTGTACAAATAGGCTTCAATCAATGTAGCATGTGGACCACTTGATGAATTATATCTCATGCCATTTCTGGCATTCTCCCAGACAGAAAGTAGGTCGTAGATAAGGATACAATCTAATATTGATGCTCTTGACTAATCTTTAGAGTTACAAGTCAAACCTTCTACATGTAACGTACAGTAAAACTGTACTAGTATACCGGTATGTGCACATTGATGTATGGGTAAAGTTGATAAGTTATAAAATTTTTTCTTTTTCTTTTTATAATTTGTCCACCAGAGCAAGTTAGTTACACAGTAGGACAAAATATATGTGACTCAGATGGAAAAAGAAAAATGCAACAGGTAAGGGTTTTTATAAAAGATTTATTTTTAAAGGTGTTGATATCTTTCATAATCTTTTCATATATGACAATAGTAGACTGGAACAATTGTTATTCTGTGGTAAAAGTCTTTTTGAAATGTTTTGAACCACATCTTGTAGGAACGTATTATAAAGAAAATTATATTCTTTGTATGGTGGGGCCAATGAAATGTACCTGTATATACTAGGTACAATTATTTATATATGTTTGGGGGGGTAAACATTCATAAATAACTTCGGAATCACAGCATTGTGTAAAATGCTTTGAAAAAATAGTGATTGTGAGTTGCTACGTTAAATGCAGGTGGAAGATAAGAAGTAGAGGTGTGAGGGATATATTATTTTAATATATGCTCGGGTAATCATGGTAAGTGTATTATAAGGGTTTTTAATACCCTTGTAAAAATTCTGTAATAGAATTGTCTCATTATTTAGAAGCCCTGTGAAACATAAAAAGGGTCTGAAATGGTCTAAAAGAGAAGCTACCAGTTCCAGTATACAGTATGAAACATGAAAAAAAAAAGTTTTTTAGTTTTTTATAGGCTAATGTTTGCAGAAGGTTTTTTATGTAAAAAATTTCAAGTAGAGATGGGTTTTATATCATGGCTAAATGAAGAAAGCTACTAACAGCATTTATATACACTGTGTTCCCTATGTTTAGTGAGTTTTGATTGGTTTGATACTTGCCATACTCTAAGTGCCTTTAAAGGAAGTTCTGAAATGACACGCTCAGGAGACTTTCCTGAAATAAATTGCCTTACTGTATGTTTGTTATTATGGGAAGACTGGCAAATGAATTTCTGAAATTTTATTAGCATGTTAGGACAAAGTCAATGGGTGGTTAATTATTAATATAATTGATTGTGCTAGCCTTGGGTGTGGGTGTCAGAGTCAGATTTGTAGTGACATGAGTTGGATCGATCTATGTAGAATTATGGCTTCATTGGGAATGTCTCCATAGATATCATAATGTATTTACTTAAGGATTAGGTTTTTAAGGATGATTTTTTTTTCAGTGAAGATAATTGTCATGCAGTTACTGTATATTAGTGCTTATGAAGTTTTCTGTTGGTTTAGAACTGGTCATCATGCTGATATTTTTACTTAAAAAGTGTGGAGCCTCAACTATATCACATTTTGAAACGTCTCAGACATCAGAATTGAAGTGTTATTGTTTTAGCATAACATAAGCCTTAGGTTATTATGTTATTGTTGGTTAAACATGGATGACCTCTAGTATATATATATATATATATATATTTATACTGCTAGGGAGAAGGTACTTCACTTATAATTTTATCATAGTCATGTAGCAAGGCAAAAATTTCTAATATTGTTATTGTCATGGTGTTTGTTATAAATCAAGACTCAGGTAGTCGCAGAAAACTTGTGGGGGGGGGGTGTTCGCTGGAAGGGGCTCCTTGGGGGTTCCCTTGGGGTGCATGGTTGATGATTTAACTTGCTTTTTTACATAAAGTTCGATTCATTTTATGAGTTCAAATAAACAATGTGATGTGCATGGGGACTTCAGAATTTAGGGTGCCTGGGTATTTGGCTGTCCCTGGGGGGTGGTTGACTCTAAATTCTCTTCACTTTGTGTTCTGTGTGAATTCCTCACAGGTTATGAGAGTTAAGAAGTTAAAACTTTGGTAATTTGTAGACTTCTTGTCAGGGATGTGCGTGAGTACTTTAGAATTTTAGGGTGCCTGGGGGTTTGGCTGTCCCAGGGGGATGGTTGATTCTAAATTCTATTCACACTGTAATTTCCACTGTTTCTTCTCAGACCATTAGACTTAGGAAGTTGACACTTTTGCCAATGGGTAGACCTGTCATCAGGGATGTGCTTGGGTGTTTCAGAATTTTNTTCCCTTTTATCTCCAAAACTGGCAGAGATAGGTCCATAGTTTCTATTGAACTTGAATATGAAGTCATATACTGGCAATCTAAATGTGACCTTGAAATTGACCTTTGACCTACTTTTCACCTTGAACTGAACTTTGCAAATTTTGCTTCCCTTTTATCTCCAAAACTGGCAGAGATAGGTCCATAGTTACTATTGAAGTTGAATAGGAAGTCATATACTGGCAATTTACTGTGACCTTGACATTGACCTTTGACCTACGTTACGATGAATTTAACTTTGATTGTACTATTTTTAGTCATATATATTTTTTGCATATTTTGAAAATTCTTGTTGATTGCATTTTTACAGCTTGTCAAGCACAAGACTGGTGGCTGTGTCCCTTATTTTGTGTATGTGGGGGTCTATACGTATGCGCTTGATCCAGCTGGTGGTACAATATTCTGAGGCGGTATAGCCTCTCTGATCCTCTAGTTTATATATTTATTTATTTATTTATTTAACTGCTCATTGCTCACATGCTTGCACAATCTGCAAGGTTATCCATTTGTTCTAAGCCCAGGGATGGTAAAACTTTGATTAGACCAGTAGATTTTTTAGAACGTGTGAATTTAGTGGTCTGACAGGGGCTTAAGATTTTTTCAAAAGAGCTGCTGATTTGATTTAATTTTTTTAAAGTAACTGTTACATGAATATTCTTATTAAAAATACATGACAAAAACACGGTTTAATTATTTATGATATCACTGTAATAGAGAGAAAATATTTTGATGTTTATTGGACTCATGCATCACTTTGGACCAGTTCATTTAAGAAATTAAAGTGGTTGTCCGATTGGCCAGTAGGTTGAAAAGTTACTGGCACAGTCTGTAACTGCTTTACTGAATACCAGTATGTCACATGCATCACTATAGTGTGTGTTTATGTTTGTGTGTGTGTGTGTGGGGGGGGGGTGTAATGAAAGACAGCCTCTTTGATGCTATTTTATTTTTTTCATTTATTTAACAATGTTAGTGCTTTCAGAGAGCCCTCCTTACATATGATTCCCTGAACATAGGCATATTTTAGTATCTTATAGTAAAATGGGTGTTTATTTATTAATTTATTTATCAGATGTTCTACATGCCGGAGAATCCATTCACCTGGGATGTTTCAGCTCAAGATGTCACCTCCAGCTGCTCTGGTATTAAAGTGATAATAGATGGTGCTAGGTACCAGCCTGTCTGGCTGCCAGAACCAATGGATATTTATATCCCTGTTGGAAGTAAGAAACTAAAAGATGTCGTGTAGACTAGTGACTTGTTGCTACAAAATATTCTATGAAAGGGATTTGTTTTGTTTATACTTTTGATACTTTGTCCTCAAATTTCAGTTTTACTTTCATATTCTCTCAAAACACTTTATACAAATATTTTCCACGTTACATGTATGTAAAAAAAAATTTGGCATGCTGCTAGGTATTGGATTTTGAATTAACAAGTTTAAAACACGGTTATAGAGATACTGCTACATGTGGCAAGTTGGCTTACAGCTTCAGTTGGGAACAAGTTTACATGAGATTTAAATAAAACCACAAAAAAGATTTGAAAAAAACCTTCATTCTTTTTCTCAGAAGCTGACATGAACTGTGGTATCACCCTCCTAAAACTTGAAGGAGGGACCAATGGAACCATGAAGGACGTTATTTACTTCAAGTTTGATGCTGAGACCAACAAATCACATCAGATCACCATCTGGCCAGTAGACAATAATACCACCCTGCAAGTTTACCTAAAAGCCAATGCCAGGCCTAGCAAGGAAGAGGTATGCTGCTTAGTCAGTGCATTTATGTGTAACCAAAAATGAGTTATGATAAATTTTTAATATATTTTTTCACAGATATGCTCTTTCTGAAGTAAATTATGGGGTCAGTTATTGTTGAATTATAAGTATTGAATAGGTACTTGATTTATTTCAAAAAGTATGCAGACATTTAAAAGGATAACAACTGTTCATTTTGAACAAAAATTGAATAATCCTGTGGTACATAACAATTTTCTCATATAACCAATGGTTAATGAACCCATCTCTGATTCAAAGTTAGTCCCTTTTTTTTCCTAAAAGTTTTTTTTTTTGTTATTATCTCTTAAGAGATTATTACAGAGTATGGCTATCTATGGAGGTCACAAGGCACAGATTTCAGAATAATTTCTATAACTGTCGTTTTTGTGATAAAATAAAACATATTATATTTCTGTGAGTTGTTTACAATTATGTATTTATAGTGAAATGTAGATTTCACATTTAGAGTTGTTATCCCTTTAATCACCTCAAAAGCATAACGCAAAAATGTAATAAATCAGTGAGTAATTAATTAATATGATCAGTTACAATTAAATTATGTGAGTACTTATTTAATTTTTTCCTAATTGATTGATTCCCTAGATCTTAAACAGCACTACACTTATCCCAGTTCCTGAGGAGATGCGTTATCATTATGGCAACCAAAGTGCCAGTGGCTATGTTCTGTTTGTCCCAGAAAATAAAACCACTGAGGCAGACACTGTATATTACATTGGGATCACTTTATTAAATACAAGTGATTTTGGGAACAGTGAGTATGGACATAACAGTGATTTTTTAAAAAATTGATTATTTTGATTTTTTGTGGACTTTTACTTATTCTTAATTTTAAGTTCATTTAAAATATATACTGCATTTAATTATATATTTTATTGTATGTTAAGTTATTTATGTAATGGAATTTATTTTAAGTCAATTTTATATTTGGTCAAGTACAAATAAATTCATATACTACAGGGCATTTTTTTTTTATGGTACTGTAATTTATTAGGGATTTTAACACAAATATTTTGCAATAAAACAGGATTTATACTCTTCAACGTTTTAGCTGATATCTTAGGGACCATTCCCACAGATATTTGGATCGATCTATCTCCCTAGAGAGTCTCACTAAATTGCTATCAACTTAAACTGCTTAAATATCTGTCACACCTAGTAAAGCTGTTAGCGGGTAATTATCTATACCACTGAGCTGATTCGGTATTGGTAATGGTACTATACTCCATTACTGTCTGTGATGGATGACAGCTTATTGTTATCGGATACTGTGCTCCATCACTCTCAGGCCCGTAGCCAGCAATTTCAATTGGGGGGTTCGTTTTCTGAAAAAGTGGACTTTTTACCATAAAACTTTCATGTACCTAGATCAAATTTTATCCAAAGTGGACCTTTTCCCAGCAAAAAGGGCAGTTCTTTCGAAACCCCCGAAACCCCCCTGGCTACTGGCCTGACTCTCTCTCTCTCTCTGTACACTAATTTGATGACTTTCTCCTCATCTCCCTTTACTGTGCCCCCTTTCTGATAATAAGCAATTGTTTCTATGTTACAATACAACAGGACACCTAGATGTTAATGAGAATGTCCAACTTCTGGTCACAGTCCATTCCAGTGCCTGTCTGTTCTGGGATGAGCAGAAAGAAATATGGAGTAGTGAAGGATGTAAGGTAGTCAGCCTTTTGTTTAAATATAGATGAATTGATAGAATAATAAATAGATAAATAAATATGAAAACACCAGGATTTTCACCTCATACTTTTCCCAACTTTTGCTTCCAAGTCTCTTATAGAAGATGTCTTCTCCAAACATATTCCAACTATATCTCACCTAACACATTTCCCACTTTCTGTATCCAGGTTTCTCCCCTCAGCACAACTGTTACTTTACACTGTATCTGTCATCACATGACTGTGTTTTCTGGCGGTTTCTTTATTCTGCCTAATGCCATTGACATCGTGGCAGACTCTGCTCTGTTCTTGACTTTACTGGAGAACCCACTGGTGGTGAGCATTGTGCTGTGTGTATGGGGCATCTACCTGGCAATTGTTATCTGGGCACACAAGAAGGACAGGGAAGACCTTCTTAAGGTGAATAAACCTCTGCTTTTGATATACAAAATTGCTTGGGGATTGTGAGAGGATTTTATTTCAGTTTACCATGACTTTAATGGGTCTCAGGAGAGTCCCTTTTTGACTCCTTCTCAGCCATGTAATATGTGATTGAAAAAGTTAATGCACTCCGCCCCATCCCACCCAATAACAGCTGATGTTGTATACTTATTTTGGTATTTATGCAACAAAATAAAACTCAATATCGGGCATTATCTATATCAGTAACCACTAAATTAAAGCAAAGCTTCCAGTTGCTCATATTTTGATGTTTTCAAACACTTACATGTAGATTTAGTATATAGATTGAGCATTCTGCACAACAGAAGTTTTAGCTTAAATCAGTTGCAAGCTTTTGGGCTTCACTGTTGCTAATGACATTGATATTAACGGTTCTTTTCATGTCTCTAGGCTGGAGTGACAGTGTTAGAAGACAATGATCCAGAGAATAAGTATGGCTACCTTGTGACAGTTATCACTGGCTGGAGGACAGGGGCTGGGACCACAGCTAATGTGGGCTGTTTTATTAAAGGTGAATTTCAAGGCTGCACTAGAAAAAAAAGTGGTGAAAATGAATTACAAACCAATTCAAACTTTAATTGCACAGTAACAAACTTGTCGCTTGTTTTCAAATTTTTTTTCCATTTCAAAGGTGAAAATGGTGAAAGTGACCGTCATGTCCTGAGCGACCCCAATCATCCAGTATTTGAGAGTGGTGGCATGGACAGTTTCCTACTGACCTGTGCCCAGTGCATGGGTGACCTCCTCTCTGTCACCATCTGGCACGACAACTCTGGAGCTGCCCCTGCCTGGTTTCTGGAGAAGTTGATGGTAAGAGACTTGCAGAGAAATGAGGTGTTTGAGTTCCTATGTAACCGCTGGCTTGCTCTGGACCTGGATGACTTCTGCATCCAGCGCACATTGTGCCCTGCCTCAGTGGAGGAGATGAAGGAGTTCTCGTACCTGTTCTCCAGTAACAGTGGCTTCAGCATGAGGGAGAAACATCTGTGGGTCAGTGTGTTCTCTTGTCCACCAAACTGTCCCTTCACAAGGACCCAGAGACTGACCTGTGCTCTGACTCTTCTACTGACCACCATGCTGACCAATATCATGTTTTATGGCATCCCAACTGATGACCCAGAAGATCAGTACCAAGTAAGATTATTTGATTAATCTTTTTACCCAGCTACATCTATTTATTTATTTATTTATTTATTTATTTATTTATTTATTTATTGGTTTTAGGTGTTTTGTTTGTTTGTTTATGTATTTTATCAAAAAAAAAGTTTCTGTCATTGTTGCATTTGCTTAAAATGTTGTATATTGTACCGAAACAAAAAATTCTTTGGTTGTTGCAACTGCTTAAGGAAATGTTTGCTTAAAATGTTTGATTGGTTGTGACATTGTATTAGGTATGATTTTTACTGGAAAGACATTTATTATTGGTTTAGGTAATTTCAATTCTTCCATCCAGAGTATGATTTTAAGAATTTATGTAAAGGAAATTCAATTCCAGGTAGCAGATTTCCAGTTTTCTCTATCTGACATAATAATTGGTATTGAGAGTGGGCTGCTGATGTTCCCAGTGAACCTGGTCATAGTGCAGCTATTTAGAATGTGTGCTCCAAGACCTGTTAGTACACATAAGGAAGATGTCACACCCAGAACTTCCATGGAACAAAGAGATTCAGCTCAGATGGCTGTGCTAGGAGCAGATGTAAACCATTCACAGAGCAGAAATAGCAGTAGCGTCTCGGGGAATGAGATTGGTGATGGTGATGTAGATAAAGTACCAAATGCAACCTCTAACAGTGCAAATAAAAGTAGTTTAAATACTGATGACCAGGCTGTCACAGATAGAAACATCACACTCTTTAATGAAAATGAAAGTGAGAACAACTTCTGGCCTTGCACTTTGGGTGTGGCCATCCTCGCTGGAGGAGAAGTGACGGGTCAAGTGTCTACTGACCAGTCTATGGACATGGGTGGACATTTAACTGGGTGTAAGAAAGAAAGCCAGACTGTGGAAGAGGACAGCATATGGTGTGGATCGGGTGCTGGTGTCAGGCCATCTGACCTTAATCTCACACTTGACCTTGACCTACTTCACAGAGAAAGCCCTGACATACCATTGATACATATGGTAGGTGCAGTGCTCAGAGAAAGTTGCAGAATTTTTTAATGAAATTTTTCAAAAAGGAGGATGTTTAAGGGTTCTCTCCACCTCCCCCCCCTTCTGTTTTATTGCTATAAATTTATTCTTTTTTTTTTCTTATTTAGGACAATTCAAATGAAGTTTCTGTGATTACAATGGAGGAGGAAAAGAATACACCTTTCAGGTGAATGAAATTTTTGTCTTGTTTTTTATTTTTTATTTTCACAAAAGAAGTGTTACTACTGAATTTGAGTGAGTGAGTGTAATTTAACTTTTATCCTTTCTCTCTCTCTCTCTCTCTCTCTCTCTCTCTCTCCTATTACACAGAAACACACATGCTCACTCACATACCAGTACATGCACAAACATGCACTCTTTCCCTCTCTCTCTTTCTCACACATACACACACACATAAAGATCTCATGCTGTATAGGTACCAGGACAACCCCATCCACACACCCCTGGCTGGTTCTTCTATTAGATGACTCTGTTCTGTAGCTTTACTTTGTCTTCAGACTACCATGGTGGTGTATCTACATAGCCTGGGTGGTGGCTGTGATAACATGTA